AGAATAAATTTATACTGGACCTTCCCCTTCTTTTTGTTCTCCCTCTCTATTCTTTCCTGGGAGCTGCAATTCCCCCCTCTCCTAGAAAGAGGCTGATCCAGGTTGGGGAGAGAGATGGCTCAGTGATTAGGTGTGAGCACCGCCCCAGGGCAGTGGTGTAGCTTTAATGGCAGCACTGGGGAGGCAGAGGCAGGCTGCCCTAAGGCTAATACCAATGAAACACTGATTACCATTCTCTACCGTCCACGAATTTTTCTGAAAGGAACCCAAATGGCTTGGATACACTGGGCCACAGATAACAGACACATTTACATTCATTAAAATAAGGCTTCCCCATGTACAATAGCAATTCCAGAAATAACACTGGCTTATATAAGACACAGTTGATTTGTCTCTTATTAAAGTCCAAAGGAAATTAGTCCCAGGCTTCTTATGGAGGTTCTACTTATGTGAATCCCACAGGAACTGAGGCTGCTTTCATCCCTCAACTCTACTCTGTATAGATTCCTTAAAAGAGTAAGTCATTGTCCAAATTGGCTGATCCAGACAGCATTAAGGACAGGACAAAAAAAAAATCATTCCTGTCCACTTTGACCTCTGTCTGGACCAGTAACCTCCTTGAACGATGTGACACTTTTACTTAGATAAAAGTCAGCAGCATATCCCCATCTCGATGCAAAGGAGGCTGGGAATATCCTTATTATGAGGGCTCATGTGGGCGCTTAAAAACTGTATGTCCCGCTGTTGGAGACAGAAGGGAAAGCACTATTAGGAGATTACTAGCAATCTTTCTCATCTCTTCTTGGCTCTTTTGAGATCGGGTCTTATTGTTGAGTAGTAATTTCCTCGAGGTTAAAACCTTCCATCTTGGAGGGAATTTTTTTTAATTTTTTAATCATTTTACATTCCAATTACAGTTCTCCTTCCCTCCCCTCCTCCTGCTCTCCCTCCTCCCAACAACTCAACCCCATCCACTCCTCTGAAAGGCTAAGGCCTCCCATGAGGAGGTAACAAAGTCTGGCACATTATTTGAGGGCTGAGCAAGGCATCCTACCATAGGGAATGGGTTCCAAAAAACCAGCTGGTGTACCAGGAATAGACTGTGCTCCCACAACCAGTGGCCAGAGAAAAACTTCTTCAGATATAGACATAAAGATAGAGTAGAGCAGCAGGGTATTTTAGGACAGGATTTTTACAAGGAGGTAAAAACAATAGGATGTTCTAGGGAGAGGTAAAATGTATCATTCTACAAGGAAGCACCTTAAGACAGGAAGCAAACAATTCAAGATAGCGTCAGGAAATCCCTGAAACTGACCAGCTTCACGAGGTCCCTCCCTCAACAAGAGTGTATAAACAAGCAGTAAAGACTGCCGAGAGTCACTCTGAGACAAAGCAAGCTGCACAGAAGACTCTGCTAGCCAAGTCCAGCAGCCTGGAAGAAGCACAGACTCCCTCAACTGCCTGGAAGAAACGGAGACCACCAAGCTGACTAGAAGAGATTCACACCAACAGTCTCCTGGAAAGGACACTCTCCAACCTGCTGAGCTGCCTACAGGCTGTGCAGCGTGCTCCAGATTGCCCGATATTCTGAACTGTCACCTATGCTAGGGCAGACTTTGGTGATGTAGCTCATGCAGAGGACCAGGTTCAGTTCCCAGCATCCAAATCAGGTGCTCACAACTACCTGGAAGTTCATTTCTGGTGGGGGAGGGGGGACTACTGCTCTCTTCTGGCCTCCAGGGGCACCCACACATACATGGTACACATAAACCCACAAAGATACACAGACATATACCTAAATCTTAAAAATCAACCTGAAACTCATTAAAGGCATCAATTCATTAATGACTATTTAAAAAAAAAAAGTCATTGAGCCCTTCCTTCTCAGGCTGTCACTGACAGTGAGCTCAGGAAAAGATCTCTTTCTCTCTCTCTCTTCCCCCTCCCTCTCCTCATTCAGCCGAGCCTGGCTTTGAACTCTTGCTGCTCCTGCCTTCACCTCTTGTGTGCTAGCACTTCACACGGGCATCACAGCACCCAACTGAAGAACAGTTTCCTGAAGCACTTGCTGAACTATTTCCTCCACTCAGTCATCAGGTGGGTGGTAGGCACCTTTAACCACTGAAGCCATCTTGTGGGCCCTAAGTAGGTCAGAAACAGTTTCCTTAACTACTTGCTGGTAGCAGGCCCACATGCGCCCACCAAACCCATGCTGCACCGTCTCCTCCAGGACTTTCTTACACAGTCCTCTAAGGATACCCTGTGTGGAGGAGCTCAGGTTTGCTTCCTTTTTCATTCTTTCAAAGTGCCATAGTAGTTTTAGCTTGCTGTAGTTGATTATTCTTTGTGAAGGAGGGAGTGTGTAATGTCACCACGGAGTGAGAAGGCTAAAGGGCGTTCTGTAGGAGCTGTCTCTCTCCTCCTACCATGTGAATTGAATCCAGGCTACCAGGTTTAGCAGCGAGTGTGTCCACCTGCCCAGCCATTTCGCCAGACCTTCTTTTAAGGGTTGTATTACATTTGTGTGTTTGTGGAAGGGAACATGCGTACCACAGTGTGTAGAAGTCAGTTCTCTCTTTCAACAAGTGGATTCTTTTTTTTTATTTTTCTTTTTTCTTTTTGGTTTTCAAAGACAAGGTTTCCCTATGTAGCCCTGTCTATCCTGGAACTCGCTCTGTAGACCAGGCTGGCCTCGAACTCAGATTATAAGAATCCAACTCAGTAGCTTTACTGACGGCTGGCCTGGAAGTCAGTGCAGACAGAGCGCTAGAGAGTGCTGGTATTCTCGAAGTACAGCCGCTTCAAACAGATACCAACTTAGCAGTGCTTCAAATGTATAGACTAGTTATTCAGTGCCCTGGCAAAGCATACCCAGGTTCAAAACAAGTTACAGCCTCAGCAACAGAAGCTTTCAAATCCATGGTTCACTGCGGCCACTTTATGAGGAGCAGATCATAAAACGGTATTTAAACTCGACCTTCAGTCCTCCAATTGTTTTACTTACAATTAAATCAAAGCTTGCGGATATTCATGGGCTAAAGGGTAGGCAGAGAAATGAATGTAGGGTTATGGTTTTCTTCAGGGACCTGAAGCTTCGAAACCGCCGGGAAATCAGAGCCTTGTGATCTTCGTTTGCTCATGAGGAACAATTCCCAGCGATTTTTCCAAGGCTCTTTTCCCTTCTGGTGTGAGCAGTGCTGTCTCAGGAAGCACAGGCTCATTATCCCCAGAGGTATTTTAACTCTTGTCTGCCCTCCCCAGTACACACACCATGAGAGCCTTCTTCCAAAGCCTCTTCCGAAGAGCGAAACACTGGCAGGGGATGTAATGACTGTGGTTTTACTCGCTTAAATATGTTCATTGTGTGTGTGTCGCACATTGATTTTGATAAAGAGGGTGACACTTTTCCTCACTTGAGTACAAAGCTTGCAGCAGGCACAAGGTCCCGACCTTGAAGTGTGTAAACTAGCTCATCTCCGACCTTGCCAAGGGTCCTGACAGGGTCCTGATACCCAGAGAAGTCTAGGCATTGACTTTAAGTGCTTCTAACTATGTAGTGAAACATCTTATGAACCCCATGGACACGATTCGTCTCACAGGTGAATGTAAGCCCCTTGTTAGTGTTGTGACATCTCTGAGCCCTGTACTGGGGGGAAAAAGCAAATAACAATTCTAGGGGTGAGGCTGGCTTAGTCTTTAGCTAAGTAAAGCATCCATCATTTCTCTCTTCCACAGAGGGACAAGTGACTAAGTTTTATCTCCCGACATTGTCAGTTGCTGATGATTCTCTACGTCGAAGTACAGAAGCAAGAATCTGGATAATCAATTATAGCCTCGGCCCTTCGTGTGCCTTTGTATGGTATCCTTTAAAAATGTTTTGAACTGCCGTGACTGAGAACAAATATGGCTTAAGAAATGGGTAAATGCTTTCTATATAGACATAACCTCAAGGTCCAGAAAAGGGGCATCAAGAAAAACCTCACTGTTTCTTTTAAAGAGTTACAGTAAAACTTGGAGTCGAGTACATATTTTCAAATATGGCACCTTGGAAGCCAGGAATGGGACTCATATTTACAAGCTAGAGGTGGCTGAGGGCAAGACTGGGGTGGGCGGAGCGGGAGCCAAACACACCGAAAAGATAAGGAATGGAGGCTTCCTGCTGTTTGGGTTCGGTTTGGTTTTGGTTTCTTCTGCCTGCCTCTCTTGACTAAGCCACTCCTCCGTATCTCAAGATCTCCTAAAAAGACGAGTTTCTCCCCATCTACAATTTTAACAACGGTTGCAAAACACGCCAAGCTTCCCCTTTTGCTTTCCTCCCTCTCTGGGGAAAGAAAGGAACCATCCAACCTGAAAAGGTGACGACTTCATCCTTTCTGTTTCTGATGAAATCGTCCTGCAATTGGTGTGAAGTTCGGGAGAGGTGTGGCCTGCGCTGCACTTTACAAAACCCGGCCAGTATGACCCAGAGGGAAATTCTGCTCGACAGGCCAGGAATCCCCCACCCCACCCCACCTCACCCCCCCGCCACACACACACAAGGAAATCTCTAAACTCGAGGGGATATCCCCAGCAACCTCTGCGGCCACTTTTAGAAACCACTCAGAGCCAAGCACAAGGAAGAGAGATGTTTCCCCACCAGGGAAAGAACAGATCCTGAGGGGCTGGAGAGGCTGGGATGGGGTGGGGGAGTAGGGACAACGACAGAGTCCTCTCCAGCCTTTCTGAGAGGACTTGCCTCTCTGGTGCATCCTGGCGCATCCCGTATCACCGCATCCAGAGTCTCCTCCCCACCCGAGCCGCGCGGGTGCTTGAAACACAGGACACCGGGCTCCGGGAGGCGAGTGTGTGTCTAGGTGCCCAAAGCCCGCGAGTGGCACCAGCTAGCCCGCGCTCGCTTGGGGGACCGGTGCGCAAGTGACCAGGGTAGCCCTGGCAATGCGCTGCCCTAAAGGTGATTAGGCTAGCCCCGGCTCTATGCAGCCCCGGAGGGGCAATCGTACCTCGGATGTAGGCGCACTTGCCCTCGTCCAACTGGCTGGAGGCCGAGCCGCCCATGGCCGCAGTGCCGCACGCGAGGTAGGAAACTGACACCGGCTGTCTGCTGCTAGCTGCTGAAGGTGGATGCGACAGGGAACTGGCGCTATAATTAAAGGGCCAACTTCCTCGAGAGGCGTCGCCGGCGCGGGCGCCTCCTCCTCCAGGTCCGCGCCCTCAGAAGATGTGTGGGCTGGCCCGGGAGCTGTCTTCCCGCCCTCGCGGTGCTGTTGTGCCCCGGGGGCTATCCAAGGAGCTCCGGGGACCGAAAAAGGACTTCCATCCTCTTGGCTGACTTTTCACCAGTTTGGGGACAGCCCAGACACACCATGGAGAGAGTAGAGAGAGTAGATCGTCACTTCCAGGTGACAGTAAACCTCCGCCAGCTGGAAGCTTCATTACCTCTGTCCCACAAGGAGGAGATCAAAAGCCCATTTGCCTTCCTGTTCTCCAGCCACCTGTCCCGAACCGGTTTTCAACTCCCCCCCACCCCCCGGGAATTCCCTTGCCCGGAAGTATGGGAAGCTTGGAGGAGCCATACCTTCCTGCAACCAAGAAGTTGAACTTAGGAGTTGGGAAGTGAACGGAGAGCTGGGGAGAGCAATGGAAAAGTCTAGCAAACACCAAGTGGATTCCGTACACTCTAAGGTCTGCCTGGGACTCACGGACCTGTCCTTGAGGGTCTCCTCTTACCAGATGGGAAATAGCTGGTAGGAGACCGCAGTGTTCCTTTTCTGGCACCTACTCTTCGGCTTGGCAACTTCAAGATCAGCCTGGGCAGAGGGGTCGCCCTGGTTTCTTTCTGTTCTTAGTGGTCAGATTTTTAGCAATTCCTACCAACTTAAGGAAGCCTGAAGAGAACTTTAAGCCAGTTCTCCAGAAAGTGACCGCAAATGTTTCTCACAACTCACACGCCCTGCATACATCAAAGTATGTCCAATGTCCTGCAGATTCTTACATCTTCCCCCTGTCCTCATTTCGCCAAGGAGAACCTCGTGTGTTACTCTCTGGCTGCTACATTTCCTTCCAGTCAACTCCGAACTGCTAACACCCCTGGGCTAGGGAGTAGAGCACTAGCCTAGCATTCTGGAAGCTCTGGGTTTAAGTCTCCTCATCTCAGAAACAAGGTGTGGCAGTGCACGCCTGTAGTCCCAGCACTTTGGGAAGGAAATGCAGGAGGAGTGGGCTACACAGAGATTTGGAGACTAACTTGGGCTACGTGGAGTGCACTTAATCCCAGCACTTGGAAGGCAGAGGCAGGTGGAGATCAACCTGGTTTACTGGGCAAGTTCCAGGACAGCCAGGGGCCAGAAGAAATACACAGAGAAATCCTGTCTTGAAAGGATGGCATGCATGTGGTAGATAGACAGACATGCAGACAAAACACCTATACACGTAAAAGAATATCTTTTTAAAATATTCTGACTGACTCTTGAAGTATATTTTTTTCTGAGCCGTACTAATTCCTTCTGTTACGTAAATTGATCCAATTACACCTCAGAATTCTGTTCTATTTTGAGCACAGCCGACTGGGATCTCCTGCCCAAAGCAGGTTTAGTTTGTCTCTGTTAGTATAGTTTATTTGCGTTGGAGAAACAAGGGATAATTCGGATTTATCTCTCTTCGCTCTGTCATACATTCCCAGGTGGAAAGATTTGTGTGGAGCCGAATCGCCAGTCCTGAACTGGCAAATTCAGCTTTGACTCCCTGACTGGTCATGTGACCTGGTCAGCTTGCCTAACTCCTGCCTTGTGGAAACCTCCTTTTCTCACTCTGAAAAAATGCTGAGGATAATCGGCTTATCAGAATTAGTGTCTCTCCCGCCTGCCCGCAGTTCAGAGGTTCAGCCCAAGGCCAGCGATCACATGGCCTGCAAGCTTGTGTCAGAACAGTAGGTCATGAGGTGGTTTTCTTTCTTGTTATAATTTATTTGGGGGTTATTCTACCCCATCTCCTCCTTGTTTTTTTAAGACAAGGTTTAGAAAATCCAGGCTGGCCTGGAACCTACAATTAATTCTCCTATCCCGTTTCCTTACTACAAACACACCCCTGGCACCTGGCTCAACACATCATGGCAGGAACATGTAACAGGGTTGCTGCTCACCTCACAGCAGGTGGGAATGCGTGGGCGGGAGGGGGGGGCGGTGGTGTCTTAGTATCTCATTCAAAAACACACTTCCAACGACCTAACTTCCCTTCACAAGACTCTAGTTCCTAACAGTTCCCATCCTCCTACAGCACCACGGGCTGAGGACTAAGGTTTCAAATACATGGACATTTGGGGAACATCCCTATGTTGGGTTTCTTCAGCGGTTATATGGAGATAGTTATACTTACCTTATGGACCATTGTCAAAATCAAGTTTTTGTGGGTCTTGAAGCACTTAACGTATCCCAAGGAACATAGTAAGAGGGCAGTGGGTGGATGCTGGGTTTGTTATCACAAGAGCAAGACTGGAAACGAAGCGCATTTCTGCCCCTTCCTCCTGAGTGCAGGGTTAAAGATGTGTGCTATCACCTCCTGGCCATTTCTAGAATTTTAATTGACCTTCAGATCATTCACGCTGCATCAGAAAAAAAAAGATGTTTTCTGCCCTCCTTCCCAAAAACAAAGATAATCTCTCTTAATGGTTTATAGGAAAAAATAAGAAATTCATTATTTTAATCTTTTTTATTTCCCTCAGGTGGGGAACATACGCAACACAGTGGTCACGTGAGCATGGAAGACAACTTGCCAGAGTTAGTTCTCTCCGGGTCTACCGTGTCATCCCAGAAGTTGAACTCAGGTCACCAAACTTGGCCCCTTTGCCCACCAAGCCATCTAGCTGACCCCAGAATTCTTTTTGTTTTTTTAATTTCAGTCATAGTATTTAATATTTGCAAATCTTGTGTGAGAATCATTTTGTTAATTACACATTAAAATGAGTCTCCAAGCAATTCAATAACTTTATGAACCCAATTCAATTTCATACAACTCAAACCAGCTAGTTTAGACATCCCCTGTGTGATGTTAGTTTCTGCCAGCATCAGTGCATTTTGCTTTGAAATATTTTTAAGGCCACCTCTCTCAGATCAATATCACCACCTTAAATGATTCACATGTTCACTAAGATATAATTCATATACTATGAAATTCACATATTTGGATTATCCTTTTTTTAAAAAAAAATTTATTCATTTATTATGCATTCAATATCTGCCTGCAGGCCAGAGAGGGCACCAGATCTCATTACAGATGGTTGTGAGCCACCATATGGTTGCTGGGAATTGAACTCAAGACCTTTGGAAGAGCAGGCAATGCTCTTAACCACTGAGCCATCTCTCCAGCCCCCTGGATTATCCTTTTAAAGAAGACAAGATTTTAATAAGTATTTAATACTCTTGGGAGGCAGATTTTGAGACAGGGTTTCTCAGTGTGACGCTGGCTGACCTAGAACTCGCTCTGTAGTCCAGACTTGGCCTCAGTCTTGCAGAGATTCACCTGCCTCTGCCTCCTGCGCTCTGGGTTAAAGACACATGCCACCACTGCCTAGCCTATATTTAATACTATTAAAGCTTGTGTGCTGGAGATTTCCTTGCATGTCATGGAACTATGAACCCCTTGTTTTCTGTGTTCCCATTCAAGATAGAGGGCTCCGTTATTGGGCCATGTAATTAATTGCTTGCGGGGTGAAATTGGAGCTGGAACTCTGTCGTTACATGATTGCTAAGTACATGAAGTACCACACCAGCGATGCGATTTAATCTTCATAAGCCCACTGAAGGAAGTACTATTTTTATTACCATCTCTGCAGTGAGGCTAACAGTTAGGTGCGTCACTAAGGTTGCCTGTGTGTTCAGGGTTATCTGATTCTACAGTCCATCTTTTTAAACCCTGTGCTGGCGCTTTTGTCCTAAAACTTGACTTTGTTTGTTTCTGTAAGTAACCTAGGTTTTACTACAAAAAAATTAAATGACATCATTAAATTAAAAGAGAGGATAAAGATCACACAAGACAGTATCAGTATCTTTGCATAAACCCAATTATCAGCTTGATGTAAATTCTTACAGATTTACAGATTATGAATGTATGTGCAGTTATGATTTTTAATTGTATATAACTTACAATAGTTATTTATTTGAGTGAAATGGTGCTTTAATACATAATTTTATCTATTTTTGTCATAATTTTAATCAGAATATTTCTACTAAATCAATATCTAGCTCCGGATCAGCGGTATTTCACTGTATAAATGGTGCATAATTCAGCCACCCACCAGCAGTTGTGCGTGTGCCTCTTTCCCCAGGCCTCCATCACATTACAGATTTTCATAGTGTTTAGTATTTTATCAGTCATTAGTCTTCTCAGTATTTCTCAGTTTAGGCATCCAAATGAGGATGATACTCTGTTGTTCAGATTTGACGTTCCTAGCAGCGAGACTTGAATTCCGCCCCCCCCATGGACTTTCTAGCCATCTGTGATCCTTCTTGTGAGTTTGGAAGGGTCGTGACTTAAGCAGTAACAGCACCAGTCCTCTTGCTATAACACATCCTGCCAGTTAAGCGTCTTCTTATTGAAACATATTTTCCTGTGGTTTTTTTTGTTGAATTTTCTCCTTCGAACACTGGTCTCACCGTAGGCAGACCTGTCAATTAATTAAGTCTGTCTCTGGCACCGTTCGTGTTTCCTCAACAGTCATCTTTTTATCTTTTCTTTTTACGTAATGTCCAGCATCTAACCTCTTAGAGTATGTGGCTTGTGGGGTTTTATACAAAATGAATTGGTTATTGGAACTCACTTTATGAGTTTTTTTTTACAGCATTCCTCTACTTCTCTGAGGCCTTAGAGTTTGTTGAAATGAGTTAATTTCTTCTATCAGGGCATAAGCTTCAGGGTGGAAAAATAAAACTGGTTCTGTCCTTATTCTTGTACTAACTTGCTTTGTGGTTTGGGGAAATAACTCTGGTTATCTCTCTTCCTTCATGTGTATTTGTTTGGGCGTTGTTTTACTTTATTTTTTGTTTTGGATTTAAGTTTGGGAGTATGTGGTATGTGCTGCTTGTTTATTTGGGTTTTTGTTGTTGTTGTTGTTGTTGTTGTTGTTGTTGTTTTTGAGACAGGTTTCTCTGTGTAGCCCTGGCTTTCCTGTAACTGACTCTGTAGACCAGGCTGGCATTGAA